ATATAACTGAGGATTTCATATGTCTAGACACTGTTCCAAATCCTTTACATATGTGATCTCATTGAATCTTCAGTGCAATCCAATAACATATGCAGTATTGTCATCCTCATTTAAGTTGAGGAAGCTGAGGCACAGAGAGAGCTGATATATTTGGCAAATGGTCATAATAATAGTAGGATATAAATTGCCACTGTAGTTTTATATTGTTGATGAAATGTATTTACACTGTTCAATGAATATTTTAAAAGTCACCAAAAACAAATTTTGGCCAGGCACAGTGGCTCACGCCTATAATCCTTATAGCACTTTGGGAGGCTGAGGTGGGAGGATCTCTTGAGGCCAGGAGTTCGAGACCAGCCTGGGCAACATAGCAAGACTCTATCTCTACAAAAAAATTGTAAAAATAAGCTGGGTATGGTGGCATGCACCTGTATTCCCAGCTACTTGGGAGACTAAGTTTGAGCCCAGGAATTCAAGGCTGCAGTGAGCTATGATTGCACCACTACACTCTAGCCTGGGCAACAGTAAGACCCTGCCTCTAAAATTTAAAAATAAATAAATAATGGCACACATTTACCTATGTAACAAACCTGATCATCCTGCATATGTACCCCTGAACTTAAAATATAAGTTGAAAATTAAAAAAATTCTTTATTTTAAATTTAATATTATTTCTCCTTCTTAGAATGACCACAGCTTTGATTTTTTTTTATAAAAAATATGATTTCGAGTTTGCTAAAATATGTTCAAAATATAATGTTAAGTTTCTCCCGCTGAAATATTTTTTTTCTGAACATATTTTATTCCTTCAGTCCCAGAAGGAAAATTACACCTCACAGATAACTTACACTTTGTTATATTCTGACCCTTGTAAGTTTTTCATTATTTTTGAAATGATTAAGATATATAATTTACAGAATTGGAAATTTTAATTTTTAAACTTTAACCCTATTATAATTATTATGCAAACCTTTTAAGGATGCTATAGTCAATACAACTAGATGAAAAACTCTGATAGATTGGGAAATATAGAGGGTCATTTATAAGCCTCAATTTTTTTGTCTTGTGTTTCCCACCCACTCGTTCTCTATGTCCCTCCAGTCTCAGAGCAATTTCCTACCCTGGGTTCATGGGAATTGGGAAGGGCACTGTTTGATTCATTCTATGAAAATACTAGGGATTTTGAAAAAGGCAAGACAGGCCACTTGTGTCACTTCCTGTCGTCTGATCAAAAGTTTGATGAAGAAAAGAAAGTAACTAAGAGCTGCTGCCAGACAGTTGCCTGGTGCTGACCCTGGGTTTCCAGTGCTACTCTGGTTCTCAGTGTGGCCAGTCAAGTCCCTCTGACCTCTGGGCTCTTTAGAAGTCCCTGGTGCTGGCTGAGCTGCAGAGGGTCTGCTCAAGAGCCTGGCCTTTTGGAACAAAGACAGCTTGTGGATGCTGGATCAGGCTTTAGATGAAATCCCAACTGGCTCCTGAGTGTTTGGGTCCTATCTGTGCTTAGCTTTCTGGGTCTGTCAATCAGTTTCATTTCCCATCCACAGGCTGTTAATAGGCGTGAGAAGCAAGAGGGCCTGATACATGGACCACATGAGTCATTCCCCTCCTGGATAGTTATATATACCAATAGGAAATTGACTGTTGGAGAAGAGAAACAGATTCCTGGTGAATAAAGTCAAAGAGACAGGGATGTGGACATTTGCTGCATTAGTCCAACAATGATGTATTTATCTGTGCCCAAGGTGGGTCTTCTGCTGTGCATACAGATTGAAAACGGAGGCCTTGGTTTTGAACCCTCAGTGTGGGGCATCAAGGATGAGGGGCAAGTGAACCTGGGCAGGTGTTCTGGGCAAAGCAGGAGCAGGGGCAAAGGCAAGGCAGGGAAGGGGGTGAGAGTCCACCTGGGTCCTACCTTGATTCTTAGGTGGCGAGTGGAGAGTTGAAGGGGGGAGATTGTGGGCTCGGTCCCCACTGGACAGGGTGGGCTGTGTGGCATGGGAGTTGAGAGCCTGGGTGCCAGAGTTCAGGTCTCTTCTCTGCCACATCTACCTGCTATATAACTATGAGCAGTCAACAGACTTCCCTAAAGCCTCGACTTCCTCATCTATAAAGTAGGGACTAGGTAGTGGGGCATGTTTAAGTTCTAGAGGGAACTTGGATAGTCAGAATTACTCTAGAGAAGTCCTTAAGGAACCCATGAGGTTGAGTGGCCTTGGTTCTCTGGGCACAGCTTTGCCCACAAGAGATGGAGGCCCATGGGGCCAGTGCAGGGTCCATTCTGCTGTAAAGATGGAGACTGGAAAACACCACTGAGCCCCCAGTGTGTTCCTCCCTCCTTGTTCCCCACTGGATTTTATCTCATCCTGCCTCAAGAGCCACCCTCACAGCCCTGTGGCTAGTTCCCAGATTTACTGATGGTTATGAGGACCCAGAAGACAGTTGGTTGTATCTTCTGGGTGGAGAAGGCTTGGGCTCAGCTTGTATGAGGGAAGTGCAAGTGTCATGGGGCCATGGGGAGAAGGTGAAAAGCCCAGGAAAAAGGGTTTGTGAAGCACACAGCATAATGCTTGGCACAAGGCGAGTAGCAAGAAACTGGGAGTTAAAAAGCAGGAGTCCCCAAAGCCACACTGGGTAGTCTGTTTTTTTTTAGAGGACAGTAGGACTCTAGCATGAGAAGGGCATGGTCAGGTCTGTGTTTTATTGTATTCATTTATATTCTTAAAATTATAATTTTATTTTGGGGCAGATACTACACACCCCTGTTTAAAATGAAAAGGAACTGAAGAATGTAGAGAAGAATTTCCTTCCAACTCATCTTTTGTCTCCAGCAGACAGCCAAGTCATTAGTTTCTTTTGCATTCCCTCAGATATATTTTATGTGTGTAGAAGCAATACATATTCATATGCGACACCCACACTCATGCTCACACACACACACCTATGCCTTATCCTCTTTTCAACACAAATCACACTCTGCATATTGTGCCTTCCCCTTCTCACTCAAACTCCGCCTTGGATATCATTCCATAGTGATAGATAAAGAGCTTCTTCATTCTTTTAAATGGGTGTATAGTATTCTATCATGGCATTATAGCATTATATACTTATTTTCAACCTGTTCCCTGCTGATGGACATTTACTTGGTTTCCAGTGTTAGCTATAACAAACATGCTGCAGGGATGTTTTGTGAGCTTGGCTGGGTCAAAGATTATATGCCTCTGCAGAGGTTATACCAGTTAACCCCCATCCCTGCTCCTGCCCAGCAGTATATGCATCAGTTATATATTTTTAGAAAGTGCCTTTGGAGAGGCTGTTTGGAGGATGGAGTTTGGAGGGCCACATCTGAGCTGCAGCAGCCCATTAGGGAGTAGCCAGCATGAGCCTGCCATGGGCTATGGGAACTAGAGCTGGAACAGAGAAGGAGTCCAGAGGCGAGCTGGTAATTCGGTAGCTATGAGGGGGAGTCTATCAGACCAGTCAAGTCTGTTTTTAATAGTCTGTCATGTTAATGGTAAATGATAGAGCCAGTGTCCATCCTCTGTGGCTGTAGCAGAGACCGGGGCCCTCCTGCCTCCATGACCTGGCAGGGGAGATGCTGCTGCTGCTGCTGCTGCTGCTGCTGCTGCGTGCACCTGGGCCTAGCCCGTGGCCCCCGCTGGCAGGATGAGGAGAGGAGGATGGACAGGGAGAAACAGAGGGGGAAATAGGAGAGTTGGGACATGTCTAGGCCTACCTGAAGTCAGAGAGGCACACCATTCTCCTGGGGGAGGCCAGAGGAGCGTCACAGAACAGTGATGACCAAGAGGCCTCTTAGAACAGTGGGAAGGATTCTTCAGCAGTGGTGTCAGGAGCCCTGGTTTCTAGTCCCTTCAGTACTAGTTGGCTGTGTGATCTAGAGCACATGATCTAGACCTATGTCTCTGAGTCTCCCTTTCTTCATCTGAAACACAAGTTTACTGGAGATTAAGTAAGCTGACCTAGTGTGCATAGTCAGGGTACCTGCAAAAAAGAAAAGGTTCTCCCTCCTCCTTGCCTTCCCTCTGTCCCCAGAAGTGGGATAGAGAATCAGCAGTCATCAGAATCATGCACAGAGCAGTCTCCTTTGCATTGCCAGCGACCATAACCTGATCCCGAAAAATGCTTCATGGGCATTCTTATAAACTCAAAATGTAATTATTCTTATTTTAATAGGGAGAATGTTTGTATATTCCTGCAATCTGAAGTTACACCCTTCTTGTTGAAATGACTCCAAATCCCATTAAAAAGGAAACAGTCACTTCACTGGCTAATGTTATGTTCCTAACATGATTTATAGCAGTTTCCCTTCATTCACTTTCTGTAACATGTCTGTCTACCTGCTGTTGTTCAGCTCAGGTGTCCTATACAGTAGGATGATGCTCACAAGCACACACACACACACACATACACAATATTCAGCGATTATGTTGCTGAACCTTGAATGCTCCTGTCACCCCAGATGGAACAGGAGTGAGCCATAGTGCTGTGAGGAAAAGATGCTGCCGACTCCCTAACCCTCCCCCTTCTGCCCCCTCTACTTGTTCAGTCCTTCTCTCATTTCTTAGCAAGGGCAAGTAGCTAGGCATTTGCCAAGCCTAGCACAAAACATTTTTTTTCCCTGCTAGGACATTTCTTCCTCTGTCAAATGGAATGAAAGTGATAGGATTGGTGCAGTAGAAAGGCATGGGTTTTGTAGTCAGACGAGCCTATACCTAAATCCAGCCCTGTTGTGTGTTAGCAGTACAACCCTGGGCAAACTCTCTGTGTTTTGTGGGCCTCAGTTTCCTCATCTGCCATGGTGGTTCTGAAGCTTCAGGTCCAAGTGCCTAGCACAGGGCCTGCAGCCAGGAGCTGTGTAGTCACCATTTATTCCACTTTGCTCACTTATACTGCAGTGCTTTGTCTGACAGGGGACATTGGGCAACTTTCTGTGGGGCTCAACACCCCTTTTCCCTTTCTAACCTTCTCTTCTCTTATCCCAGGGGCCCAGATCATTGATCTGATGATGCTGGTCATCGATGTGACCAAGGGGATGCAGACACAGTCTGCAGAATGCCTTGTGATTGGCCAGATTGCCTGCCAGAAGCTCGTCGTGGTGCTGAACAAAATAGACCTCTTAGCTGAAGGAAGAAGACAGGCAACAATTGACAAAATGACCAAGAAAATGCAGAAGACCCTAGAGAACACCAAGTAGGTCTGCTAATGAGAGGAATAAGAAGCCTGCATGAGAAGGCTTCTGGGGCTTCCCAGAAGGGAATGTTCATTTCACAAACATGGATTGGACAGGCAGGCGTCAGCCTCCTGTCCTAGTAAGTGTAATCTCAACCTGGCGTTTGCTCACATAAGGGCTGCATTAAACTGTATAAAGGCTAATGTGTTTCTGAAATAGGCCGAAAACCACAGGAGGATAAAACACTTGAATTTGTACACAAATCCATTTTATTAAAATCCAAAGATAACAGGTCTTTAGGTATATTTTGTACCAAGTTAAATTAGAAGACAAAAATTGTGCTTTTATAGTTGTTGCAAAGATAAATAATGGAGATATTTGGTACAAAACAACAAAATACAATATACATATGTAGTATATACATATGTATGTATAATATATACATATTCTCATATATAGATATAGCTAATAAAATTACCTGGAGTGTAAAAAAAAAAAAAAAAAAAACTAGAATTTGTTGAGGCACAAGCACTTCTGTGTCTCAGTTCACAGGAAGGAGAGGGAACACAGGAAATGTGTGCCCAGTGTGCAAACCTGGACCAGGAAGGGTTCACATCCTTTCTACTTAGATTGTCTTGGTGAAAGCTTAGTCCTGCCTACACATATTGGCCATACTTTGGTGCAAGAGAGGCTAGGAATTGTGTTCTCTTGCTATCTGCTTCTCTACAACTTGATTATCTAAAGAGGAAGATGCATTTGGTGGATGACTGGTTGTTTCTGTTATAGAAGCTTGTAAAATTGGGTGGACAGACAGATGGATGTTGCTGCTGGAGGCCAGACTAGGAAACACCAAATCACAAAGGACGCTTTTAGCATCTCCTGCCAAGGAGTTTATAGTTTTATCTTGTGGAAAGTAGGAAGTTATTAAGGAATTTTATGCCGGGGGTGTCTAGATGAGTTTTTTCATTAGGAGATCACTGGCTGCAGGTAGAAGGCTGGCATGGTGAGGAGGACCCAGGAGGCAGCAGGGAGGAGAAGGAGGCATTGGCAGCAGAGGCTACTGAGCTATAGTACTTTTACCAGGGAGAAAGGCGTTGCTTTGCATTGAGGCAGAGCATGGAGGGAGGAGATGGCTTGGGGAGATCTCTAGCAGGAGAATCCACAGGTCTGGTCAAGCAATTGGCCCTGATCACAATAGCATGGAAGAAAGCTGGCAGTGCTACTGGGAGGGGCAGGGGAGCAGGAGGCACAGGGGGACTATGAGACAGAAAGCCACCTGGTTGCTCAGGTGGCCACAGGAATGACTAATTCTGATGTGGTCAAGAAAATGAGAAAATGTCCTTGTTGAGCACAATGTTGGCAGACCTCATTGTTTTATCAATTTCTCTCTTCCTGTCTGGGCCAGTCCCTTTTGATCAATACTAAATAGCGGTCACTGGGAGACAGGGATGCTTCCTCTTTGCTATGCAGCCAGAGACAATATCCTGCCACTTCCACCTCTCCTTCTTCTGCCTGTGGAGGGCAAGCAAGTAGAGAGTGTTTTTGTTTCCCTGTCATAAAGATTGATATGCCTTCCCATTTATGATGTTTTTTTCAGATCCAACACCTGCAGCTCTCCCTCAGAATTCTCAAGTTGGTTAAATTAAAGCTCCAGCCCTGTGAATGGGCCAAATATGTCATAAAAGATTTCCTAGCGCTGCCTTTTGTTAGCAAAATTCATCAATCCGATAAAATCGACACATTTAGATAAGTGTTGCATAAGAATTCAGACTTTGTTATTCCCAACGGAAGTGGATATGAGACTGTAAAAAAGAAGATAAAAAATTATATCTTCCTTTTAGTGAGTTATTTGATCTCCCTGTCATTTTATTTACTTGTCAGAAAAGGAAGAACAGGTCTCTTGGACTCCTGCATAAAAATCCAGTACAATCTCAGTATCATTTACTATAGAAATGGGACCTTCAGGGAAGGGCTTAGGGTACATTTAAGGGTAAATTGATAGTAACAGTTTTGATTAATTAAATTTAAGGAAAATTCTCATTTGCTTGTGTAAATTACTATTTCTATTTTAGTTTATTTGTTGAAGGTCAAATTGTGGGCTTTTTCACACATCCAGAGGAAATTGTCCATCTGAGGGTCCTTGGAAGCCCCTCCTGCCTTCATGTAGCACCAGCAGGTTGGTAGGGAAAGGAGAGGACTGTCACCCTGAGGGCTTGTGATCAGTGGGCCTGTGACCCAGTGAACATTAGCTTTTGCCTCCATGCAGCAAATTATTTTAAGTGACTATTTCCTTTTCTTATGGTCCCTTGTTAAGTAAATCCTTCAAAAATGCCAGTCCAGATGTAAAGAAACGTTCTGTCTGTAAAGGGAAAATGTGGACTGGTGAGCCATGTACCTATCAAAACCCAAAAAATGTGTAAAACATTAAATGTATTTTTTTCTATCTGGAGTAATTGAAAGAAAACTTGGAAAATAGAGAAAAGTAGTTAAAAGAAAGAAGAGATCACCCAAAGATTTCTTTTCTCAAATGGCAGCTGCTGGCATTTTTGGGGTTTTTCATTTCTTGTTTTTTTTTTTTGTTTTTTTTTACTATGCATGGTATTACCCCTACTTTTCCTTCCACATTTTTTTATTGTGGTAAAATACATATAATGTTTATCATTTTAACCACATGTAAGTGTACAATTCAGAGCTATCAAATACATTCACAGTGCTGTGTACCCATCCCACTATGTATACCCCAAACTTTCCCATGGTCCCCCAACATAAACTCTATATCCATTAAGCAATAACTCCCCTTTCTTCCTTCCCCTCACCCCTGGGAACCTCTATTCTGCCTTTCATCTCTATGAATTTGCCTGTTCTAGGTACCTTATATCAGTGAAGTCATATACTATTTGGCCTTTTGTGTCTGGATTATTTCACTTAGCATAATGTTTTTAAGGTCCATCCATATCATAATGTATGTCAGAATTTCACTCTGTTTTGTGGTTGAGTAGTGTTTTATTATGTGTATATACTACATATTATTTATCCGTTCTTCTCTTGGTAGACACTCAGGTTGCTTCCTGGCTATTGTGAATAATGCTGCTGTGAACATGGATGTATAGATATTTATTCAATGTTCTGCTTTTAATTCCTTTCAATACATCCTAGGAGATACGAAGTGATATATCATCATAATTTTCATTTGCATTTTCCTAATGACTAATGATATTGAGCATCTTTTCATGTGTTTAATGGCCAGTTGTGTATCTTTTTAAAAGAAATATCCAAGTCCTTTGTGCATTTTTAGGTTGGGTTATTTGTTGTTGTTGTTGTTGAATTGTAGTCATTCTTTATGTATTCTGGACATTGAACACTTGCCACAGATTTGATTTGCAAATATTTTCTCCTATTTTGTTGATTGTCATTTTACTTTGGCAATAGTGTCCTTTGATATACAAAACTTCCTAATTGGATGAAGTCTAATTTATCTTTTTTTTTTTTTAATTGCCTGTGCTTTTGGAGTCATATTTATGAAACTGTTGCCAAATTTAATGTCATGAAGATTTCCCTCCAGTGTTTTTTTCCTAAGAATTTTGTAGCTTTAGCTCTTCAGTTTAGGCCTTTGATCCATTTTGAGTTAATTTTTGTATATGATATAAGTATTCAACTTCATTATTTTGCATGTAGAAGCCAGTTTTCCCAGCACTATTTGTTGAAAAGATTTTTCTTTCCCCTTTTACCTTTGTCAAAAACCAGTTGACCATATATGTGTGGGTTTATTTCTAGGCTTTCTGTTCTATTCCGTTGGTCTATATGTCTGTCCTTAGGCTAGTCCCACGTTGCTTTGATGACTGTAGCTTTGTAATAAGTTTCAAAGTCAGAAAGTATGACTCTTCTATCTTTGTTCTTTTTCAAGATTGTTTTGGCTATTTGGGGTTTCTTGCAGTTCCACTTGAATTTGAGACTCTCCTTTTCCATTTCTGTGGAAAGGTTGTTGGATTTTTTTTTTTTAATGTATTTTATTGCACTTTAGATTCTGGGGTACATGTGAAGAACATGCAGGATTGTTGCATAGGTACATACATAGCAATGTGGTTCGCTGCCTCCATCCCCATCACCTATATCTGGCATTTCTCCCCATGTTATCCCTTCCCAACTCCCTACCCCCCACAGTCCCTCCCCTAGTCCCACCCAACAGACCCCAGTGTGTGATGCTCCCTTCCCTGTGTCCATGTGCTCTCATTGTTCAACACCTGCCTATGAGTGAGAACATACGGTGTTTGATTTTCTGCTCTTGTGTCAGTTTGCTGAGAATGATGGTTTCCAGGTTCATCCATGTCCCTACAAAGGACATGAACTCATTGTTTTTTATGGCTGCATAGTATTCCATGGTGTATATGTGCCACATTTTCCTTGCCCAATCTATCATCGATGGGCATTTGGGTTGGTTCCAGGTGTTTGCTATTGTAAACAGTGCTGCAATGAACATATGTGTGCTTGTGTCTTTATAATAGAATGATTTATAATCCTTTGGATATGCACCCAGTAATGGGATTGCTGGGTCAAATGGAATTTCTATTTCTAGGTCCTTGAGGAATCGCCACACTGTCTTCCACAATGGTTGAACTAATTTACACTCCCACCAACAGTGTAAAAGTGTTACTATTTCTCCACATCCTCTCCAGCAGCTCTGTTGTCTCCAGATTTTTAAATGATCACCATTCTAACTGGCATGAGATGGTATTCAGTGTGGTTTTGATTTGCATTTCTCTAATGACTAGTGATGATGAGCATTTTTTCATATGTTTGTTGGCCTCATATATGTCTTCTTTTGAAAAGTATCTGTTCATATACTTCACCCACTTTTGAATGGATTTGTTTGTTTTTTCTTGTAAATCTGTTTTAGTTCTTTATAGATTCTGGATATTAGCCCTTTGTAAGATGGGTAGATTGCAAATTTTTTTTCCCATTCTTTTGGTTGCCAGTTCACTCTAATGATTGTTTCTTTTGCTGTACAGAAGCTCAGGAGTTT